AATGGCAACCCTGACGAAATNTACTGATTGGAGCAAGTTAACCGGTTAACGCCCAGCGTCATATATTTAGGACAGTTCCTTTTTTCAAAGACATTCATTGTAATGGGAAACTTTTTTCAGAATTTTCATTTACCTGGGTGAATTAAAAGATTCTCAGATACCACAATGATTTAGCTATTTCTGATTAGATCTAGAATTATAAGGAGAAAATTCTTTTTGATCTATCAAAGACTATTTGAATGCCCTAACAGTAGAAAAACCAATTAATTTCGATAATATATTATTACCACTTTTTCTATAAAACCACTTTTTGTACGATTTCAATATATAAATTCGGGACAAAACGGGTTAAGTTGGTGAGTTCACTTTTGAGATATAAGAGTGATCCCATAAATACTTCTTGAGTTGTGAATAAAAGGGAATTTCATCATTTGAGCGATATTTTTGTTTTTCATTGCTTTAATTAAGAATCAGAAATTCTAACCTACGGTTCAAACTGGATAGTTTTCATTATTAACTCAGGTGACTATCACAAATAAAGAGGGTCCAAACTGATTGACTCAGTCTCAAAAGTTAGATTTGAAGCAAGGAAGAAACGATGCCAAGGCCTAAACTTACCGAGGCTGAAAAAGTCAAAGCCGAAAAATGTAGACGGAGATATCTTAAGCGTTACACACAAACGGAAAAGCAAAAGGATTCCGTTCGCAAACGTAAGCATGAAATCCCTCCCCCACAAAAGTACCAAAGTGGTTGAGAGAATTGAACCCTACCCGAAAGCGAATGGTGGCTCTTCGAACCCTTTTTATGCAAATACGTGAAAAAGGTGTTGATCACCACTTAGGGATGCATTGTCAACGTACCCAATGACTTGCACAAGACTGTAGACCACGCAACATAAATGATTCATTCACTATTCAGGTAAAATTGCAAAAAACAGCCTAGCTTTCAAATCATATTTCATGAATAAACTTGTGAATCCGAAACGGGATGCAGCTTACTATCCCCTTCACACACCATTGAACCAATTAAAAGATGTTAACATTGATCTCGATTAGCTGTTCAATGTCTATTCTGTCATCAAAGGAATGCATACCTGCCAACTTTTAATCCCTTCCATTATCCTTTTTCCCAGTGGTATTAAAATGGAATTAAAATTTCAATATTAGGCAAACAAATACGTTGTACAGGGGTGAAAGCGAGACGGAAAAGAGGAAAGGCTGGTAGTAAAACCATTTCAGTTATAGCTAGTTTTGGGGAGGAGTTTACTTATTCTTTTTTTAAATTTTTCAACAATATCTACTTTATCTTGGAAAAGAAGCAGTTTTATATATATGCCTGATTTATAAAAGAAATCTTGATAGTTACAGATATTTCATTTTTTTCGAAAAAAAAATTGCTGGAATGAAATGTTTTACGTACCAGGTTTTTCTCTTTTCCGTCTTGCTTTATAAGGGCTTTCACCCATGACGTTGTATATGAGCAAACTTAAGTTGACAACCATGATTGTAACGCATATTAATGTATGTGCTTAATTTTTGTAAGAATAGTGGTGATCAAAATCATTTAAAAATTAAGTTTATAAAAGAAAAAATAGTATATATTTACTACCACTTTAAATATGAAAACAAAATCTTCCGGAAAATCCGGAAGAGTTGGCAGGTATGGGAATGAAAACAGAATGTGTCTGAGCTGCATTCAAATATGTCTGCGAAATTGTGTACCGAGCAGTTTAGGATTGATAATTAAAGATGTCCAAGAATTGTGGTCGCCTTGCGGCGATCACAATTTTTTCTTTCTTTTATATATTTGGCATCTTTATATGACAAGCAAAATCTTTCAAAAAAAGTTTTTCAATTTAGTTTTTTATTTTAATTAATTATTTTTACTGAATTGTGTTTTTATTTTATTTTATAATCTACGCTGAACAGCCGACCCATTTTTTGGGGGCGGGAGTTGACGACTTTTAATAACTAGCTTAGTAACCGGGACATACCGATAACTCGAAGTGCGCGCTCGTCAAAGTAATTGACACAAAGGGACAGCTTGACGACGAAAAGATGGCAACACAATGTCACAAGGCGAAAGAAATAAACACACAAGAATTTGGGTTCTGGTACCCAACAAGATGGATGCACGAGTCTGGGCAAAGATCCCCGTCCCCAAACAGCAAGCCGCAAAGCGTTTATGCAACAGCAAAGGGTACAACTTGCAAACAGAAGACTCAGAACATATCTGAGTAAAAATATACAAATCTGGTGTCCAACAAAGCAAAGAAAAACTGTTTACGACTATAACTAATGTTCAACTCCGTAGCCTTGTCATTTTAAACCCAATCCAGAAGACAAGGGAACTCCTGTATTAAGTATTGGGAGAAATTCGTCTTCGTGGAGGACTTTTTGATGGAACTTTGAGTTACATGGGTAGGAAAAGCACGAAAACCTCCCACAGTTAGCCTGAAGGCAAAGGGACTTTACTTCTTGAACCGTCTACCACCGAGGATATTGTACGTCAGCACTGTGGTTGGCGCAAGCAGGGTGTGGAATTTGCATCGTCCAGCCATCTCTGGGATTCAAGCCCGGTTCACCTCATTTTATATTTTTATTTTAACCCATTGCATTCGGTTTATTTAAACTCCGAACCGAGAGGAAACAACCAAATTTAAAACCTGGTAGTAAGTTTTTGATTAATTTCTGTTAAATAGTTACCAAATATAACCTGACACCTTCGCTAAATGCTTTGCCATTTATAAGAAATGGTAGTTATCAATGCATTATTTACTTCCGAAATAGACTGACAACAAAATATTTTAGTTACCACTTTTTATTTAATGGTAATAAATGCATGACGATTCTCACTCGTCAAATATACCCAAAGGGTTAATGGAACGTTTTGACCTCTACAATGGATATAAAGAAGAAAATAAAATTATTCAATCAAATGTTTTAAAAACTTTACCAGTTGTTTTAAACACATGTTTATTGTAAATTTTGGGCCTTTCACGTATTAAGCATACCTGTACTAATACGCTACCCCCTCGTTTCAAACAGTACGCACCTGGAAAAAAATTAATTACTGGTATGCATTTTATTATGAGGAAGGAGAAATTTTCTTAATATTAGCTTCCACTATCGAAATAAAATTTCATGTCTATCACAGAGAGGCCAATATATATTTTAAAGTGGTAGTTTATCAATTATGTTTCTAGGTTTAATAAATTCAATTTAGTAGATTTTTATCCACCAATATTTCTAAATAATTCATAGGCTTATATCATTCACATATCATTCACCACTTTATTGTTGTTATGTCATGCTATACCTTTTAAAAAGCTAGCTAAAATGGACAAATGTTTCTAAAATTTACTTTGTAGTTATTTACCGTTTTTATAATTATTTTGGCTTGTCCGGAGCAGTTGGCATCTCTGCTATCACCTTCGGATCGATATGCATTTGCTTAGAGAAAAATTTAAAATTCTGGTAAGTCTGTGAACTTACTACACCTTTTGCAAAAATTTATTCTAGTGATAGTGGTATGCATAGTTTTAATGTATTAACTTTTTATTATTTTAAACTTTTTTTCACCACAGCATATAAACGAGCTAAAAATTCATATGCAAAGCTCCTTTGCAGTGAGGCTTTTAAATGTTGTCAAAATTACCAAAAATTCTGAAAGCTTTTTATTCACGAACACCTCCCACGGTTAGTCTGACGACATTGGATCTCTAACCCATGCTTCGTCAACCACTGAGGATATTTTACGTCAGAACTGTGGTTGGTGCGAGCAGGGTGCGGAATTCGTATCGAACAGCCATCGTTGGGATTCGAACTCGATTCACTTCCCTGGGAGGCGATTGCTCTATCTCCTGAGCCACCACGACTCTTTGTTTTGTTTAGTAAGTTTCATTTTAAGTTATTTTCCTTACCACTACTTGTGAACGGTACAAAAGTTCATACAAAAAACCTCTTTGTTCCTGTTCTGCCGTGGTAAAGCTTTTAAAGTGTTGGCAAAATCTACCAAAATACTGTAAGGGTTAGTGTTTGGTTGTCTACTGCTCTATAAATTACAGTACACACTCGATATCCCAAAGTTGAAGGGAGGCTAAAATATTTATAGATAGCGAGTTTTCGAGATAAGCTAAATATGTTCTAAAATATAGAGAAATATATTGGAAAATTCTACTCTGAAAATTAGAGTCATGAATTATAAGAACTACCAATAATAATGTTTGTAATTCTTGTTGACTATAAGCGTAAATACAACAATGATAACTTTTAAAAGAGACAAAAATAATCATGCATCAAATAGAAAAGAATTGACTTACAAAAAACTTAGAGGTGTGATTTTTCCGAAAAAAATTTATTTTGTATAACTGAAAATATTCGACATAATAAAGGTTTCGAGAAGAAACTCTTTAACATTAGATGGATAGGTAATATCAAGGGGAAAAAATATTTTTTTAACAGAACAAGGTTTTCGAGATATAGAAGTTCGAGGTATAGAAGTTCGAGATATCGAGAGTACGCAGTATTTTGCACGAAGCGTAGTTGTTGGCAGACCTGCAAATGCTAGTATTCAGTTTTTTTTCATGTAAATGTTCTTTTTTTTAATCGAAAGCTAAACAATAATGAGTTGCTAAAGTTTGTTTAAAAATAAGTTGTTTTTTTAAGTAAATATTTAACAATTATGATATTGTTAAATTTAAAAGTTTTCTAACTCATTAAAAGAAAATGATAATAATATAACACAGCCTTTTATAAAATAATAATAAAGATCTATAAAAAAGCAACTGCTTGATCTTAGCAACAGCGAAAAGAAAATAATCCTTGGGGCGAAAGGGGGAGGGGTGCTAACTTATATGACAACAGGACTATAAATAATAGCATAAGCCGAAAAAGAATCGTAAAATATTCGGCGATTGTAGTTGGCGGATTTTGAAGCGAAAGACAAGAATCAAATGGCAACCCTGACGAAATGATATAGATTCAGATATATAAAAGCAAACGAAAAACTTCATTCTATCTTTAGAGAATCGTCTGCAATTATTAATTTTTGCTGACAAAGCGCAGTGTTTCATGACATTGCTGTCATAATAGCTGTAGTTTAGAAATGAGTAAAAACCAGCATTTTAATGACTATTTGATCGGTTATGTAACGTGGATTATGTCTAATTTATCAAATAATCAATCTACCGTGGCTCAGTGTCAAAGAAACTCAATACAGGCAAACATCATAAGAAAAAAATTCATCCCACCGAAGTTTGAGTAAGTTATAATACTGCAACTACAGTTTTTTTTATGTATGTTTTTAATTAGTTGTTATTAATTTTTAATTCTTTACACATAACAAAGCACTATTTAAGTAATTGGGGAACTTAAGTAGCAATGGAGTATTATTATTTGTTTCATATATTTTGCTGTTATTATAAGCAACGAATAAATGACTTTATTTAAAATATTTATTAAATAAAAAAAAATAGAAATAAGAAAGGCTTTATATTCAAATGGCAGTACAAAGCTTGTTTAATATAATTTACTGTGCGATGGTTAAATAAATCGTTAAATTTGTTTAAGAAAATACTATTTAACTAACTTGGGAATTTTTGTAACAGCAAGGAAGTATTATTATTTGTTTAATATATTAAAAAAATTAGAAATAAGAAATGCTATATGCATTCGAACGGTAGTACAAAGCTTGTTTAATATTATTTACGGTACGATGGATAAATAATTTGTTAAATTTGTTTAAGAAAATAATATTTAACTTACTTAGGAATTTTTGTAACAACAAGGGAGTATTATTATGTGTTTAATATATTTTACTATTATTATAAACAACAAATAATTGAATTTATTTAAAATATTTATTAAATTTTAAAAAAAATTGGAACAAGAAATGCTTAATATATTTGAATGGTAGTACAAAACTTGCCTAATATATATTAATGTACAATGGATAAATGAATAGTTTAATTTGTTTAATTTCAGAAAAAAATGAAATTATATTGAAAAATAAAGGATTTAATATTTTAAATAATATTTCTCAGAACTAAAATTACAAAAAAAGAATGTTTTGGAATTGCTCTTAAAGCACTAAAAAAAAATACTTCCTATAAAATTATAAATTTTTGTTGGGTTTTGCTTAATATTTTTTAAAATTCTAAATCTACTGTTAAGTCAATACATTTGTATTTTTAATATTTTGAAAAATAATGTTATTAACGTATTAAATCTTAATATTAGTTTTGACTCAAAATTCAACTTATAAATTTATTCATTGCTATTACCACAAGTATTATTATTATTATTTATTTATTATTATTTTTTTATTTATTAATATTTTTTTAAAAATCGCAATTCTAATGCGACATATTTGAAAATTATTTTCAAAATTACGGAAAAGATGTTACTATCTTAATATTAAAACGACAACGTAACTCCATGATGTCAAATGTAAGAAAAAATTATGACTGATAAATGAAATGAAAAAATTTTCAAATACATTTTACCACTTTTCATTTAAAAATCCTAGTTTGGATATATAAAGACAAAACAACTTCCGCATACTGGAAATAAAAATAAGTAGAAAAATATGACGCAATTACTAGTAATATATTATACATATTTTAGGATATGATTTAAAACTTTCTTGAAAATATTTTTGCGGAATTATTTGTCTTGTGTCGTGCCGATTTTCGTAGGAGAAGCTGTCATAGATCCGCAAAAACTATTCAAGTTGTTGCAAACTACTGATCAAAGTAATATAAATATTTTTTTTTTAAAATTTCGTTACTACTTCAATTTAGATAATATTCATCAAGCATGTGTCAGACTTTTATCTATGCAATAAATTTGTGGCAATCAAGTAAATTTACCAATCCATTTTTTAAAACAAGAAATATATTTATAGTATAAATTTTGCCACCACTTGAATATTTTAACGAACCTTTGGGAGCTCCTACTAAAATTTGACACTAACTTTCCGGGGAACCAATTGTCACCACTGTTATTTTTGATTAGTTTTCTCCATCATACTTGTCAACATTTAAATCTTTCAAGGATGATTTTCCCAGTGGTAGTAACAGGAATTTAAATTAAAATTTAAGGCAGAAATTTACGCTGTATTATGTTATGAACAAGCGTATACGGACTATGCTTGTTTTATTTAATAAAACTGGGCCGCTCAGCGGCCCCTATCCCATTCATCATGAAATTCCTTTCTGATTCGAAATTTAATATATTTTCTCTTTGCTTATTTCTGACGTGCTATTTCTGCCTGCTATTTTTATTTGTTTGTTATTTTTTCTTTTCCTCCCAAATATATGCAAACATTAATGCAGATACATTTTTAGCCCTTAAATTTGTAAAAACGGCAAAATTGGATTGACACTTTTAAACTGGATTCAATTATGTTTTTAACAGTTACGTTACAAGTTCATTGTTGTAGTTTCGAGTATGTTAAAAGTTTTTCAATAAGTTACAATTATCGAATTTCAACAATTGTTAGTTGTTTTGCAATGTAAATTTATTTCTACTTCCCGCAAAACATTTTGTTACAACAATAATCATGCAAATTTTTTTCAAAAATTTTTCATTCTCTAATTTTAAATTTGAAGCTGGCTTAGAAAAGATTTCATTTTACGTTTTTTGATCATATTTTATGTTGCAATAACAATGACCACTCTTAAATCTGTAATGAATTTTATACATATGTTTTAATGAAACTTTTTGTTAAGGCTTATAGAATTACTAATTTTGTTGTTTAAACAAACGTTAAGTATATGCTCATCTGCAATAACCTTTTGTTGATAGTTGTTTTTCCTTTAGTTTCTGAGATGTTATGAAATTTGTATCCACATAAAGCAAAATTTAGAATTTTAAATTAGATATGTCAAGTAATTTATCATCAGAATGAGCTTGAATTAGCTTATAAAACACCAATGCATTTTATACATATGTTTTATTGAAACTTTTTACTAAGGCTTATAGAATTACTAATTTTGTTGTTTAAACAAACGTTAAGTATATGCTCATCTGCAATAACCTTTAGTTGATAGTTGTTTTTCCTGAAGTTTCTGAGATGTTATGAAATTAGTATCCACATGAAGCAAAGTTTACAATTTTAAATTAGATATGTAAAGTAATTTATCATCAGAATGAGCCTGAATTAGCTTATAAAACACCAATGATAAGACACTACCTTTAGTTAAAATTTTCATTAAATTTTAGATATCACAATATTGCCTAAAAGTCTTTTTTATTTTTTATTTCGTACGTAAAAAGCTACATGACGCAGAGTCTGTTTTAGTTTTAAATATTTGATTGTTCTTTTTACGTATTTTGTGACTTTATGCGTTGTGGTTTTTCGTGCTAGACTGAATTTTATTGATATGATATCGTCATTTTAATGCTCATAATGCTAAGAGTAGAATTTATTGATGCTTAAATACTGTTGTTCAAAAACATAGTTCGATATTTCTTCCTAGTTGTACTTACAACTCTTTGGGTACTCAGCAAAACTACTCTTACATTTGTTTAAATAATTACATAAATACATGTAAAATACAAAATAATTTTTATGGTTATTTGTGTTATGTCAGGATATTACAATTTACTTCTCAATTCCACAAATTTACTATCACAAAAAATGGATTAAATAACCATATAGGCTTGCATTAATAGGGTTAAATTTTTTTATTTATTTTCATGAATTTGTTTGCAAATTTGCTTACAATTAATATTTTTTTTATCAAAAAACTAATAAGTCGATTTTCAAATAACATAAAGGAATATAAATATTTCAGAAATATTTAATGGGATAAACTATATTTCTGGAAATATAAGAAATTCTTTGAAGATATGAAATAATATTAATGAAAAATAAAAATCAATTTTTTAGATGGCACAAGACTGCTAAGATTACATACCCTAATACAAGTTGTTTCTTTGTAAATGATATCTTTAAAATATTTTATGTAGGTGATATATTTACAGTGCTTTAGATATTTAGAATATATATATTTAACTCATATATATCGTCGTATGAAAATTATTAGGCAATAACAATTTTTTTTTAAATAAAAAACATTATGAAAATATGAAATATCGACCCACACATGTTTTTTAGTTCTAAACTCAACAAGACAAATTTCTTCAAGTTGACAGTTTCCTCTAGATGATTTCAACTACGCGATGACTGATATTCTGACAATTTAAAATCCTTATGGATTAATAGTTTTTTTTTGGTATTAAATTGTATGATAAATTAATTTCCTTCTGATTTATCATTTTCTCTCCAGCTTAACTGCGTTTGTTTTATCATTATCAATCATTTCCTTTTTTTTTTTGGGCTACTGAAGCTGCAATGACCGTTTTTCTATTCGTTTAATTTATTTCGTTACTATCACTTAATGCAAGTTAACGTTTCACCTGCCGCATTAATATTTCGTAAAACTAAGAAATGTAACGTTACTGACAATGCAGTAACGCAGTTGTGATTAAATGGATGTTTTATCCACTAAGCTATTGATACGATTTAAAATACTTTTGCGTTATGTTATCATCCAAAATTATCGCCTACTTTTGTTAAGGTAATCGTTTCATGTAATTTTTTCAAATATATAAAAATTGATAATTCACTAATTTTAAAAATATAAAGCATTTCAACATAATTAGGTTTAATGAAATATACTACTAATATAACTATAAACAATTAGATCTGAAATCGTAGTTTTACAATTTCCTGAATCAAAAGTGGTAGTACATTGGAAATTATTTACTTATTTATCGCTAATTCAATACAGTTGTTTTTCAAATAAGGTATAATAATAATTATAATTTATTAAGATATATTAACAATTATAGTTATAATAAAAATTATAGGTTATAATAAAAATTATAGGTTATAACAATTATATTATAAAGTTTAATAACAAAGTTTTTTCATAGTGTTAGTCAAAAACAGGGTCAACAGCGATATTATTAAAGATTTGCACGCTATGGTTAGCAATTAATAGAATATTTAATAGTTATGAGTTTACAATCTAATTCCAAAAGATACTAGAATCAGCAATGGAATATAAGAATTTAGATGGAACAAAATTGTCATTGATAAATTCGTAGATTGTTGTTTTGAATATCAACTTTATAATAATTAAGTTGAAATTGATCATCATCATCATCATCGAAATATAACTGGGCGCCTGGGGCCGTTAGCGGCCTTTTTCCCATTCATCTTGTATTTAATCTTTAAGGTGGTTCTTTCT